ATCCGAGCCATCTCGCCCCAAACCAATCTGGTCTTTTCTCGATCGTTGGCCCACCGCACCGCACGCAGTGAAGTTTTTCGCCGAAAGTATTCGCAACGAGCTCGCCCAGATGCCTGATCTCAAAGATCCACAGGACGCAGTAGTATTGTTCAGTGCGCACTCTATTCCACTGTCTATCGTGAACAGAGGTGATCCTTACATTCAGGTACGTTCGGCTAGCCCAACCGGTTCTAGTTATCTATCTACTTGTTTCTTTCAATCTTCTTTTCCTTCCTACGAACAGGAAGTGGGCGCCACAGTGCATGCAGTAATGCAAGAACTGGAGTTTGCTTTGCCATATCGACTAGTGTGGCAGTCAAAAGTTGGGCCAGCGCCCTGGATGGGACAAGATACCGAATCTGCAATCCGAGGATTAGCGAACCTGGGTCGCAAGCATGCAATCCTCGTTCCAATCACCTTTACTTCTGACCATATTGAGACCCTACACGACATGGACATCCAGTTTTGCGCAAAGATTGCCAAGGAGGCTGGAATGATTAATGTGCGTCGTGCGGCTGCCCCCAATGACAACGCTATGTTCGTGCAGGTGCATACTTCTTTTGCCAAGCCCCTCTGCCTCTGCTCTGATCCCCATTTTACTTCCGAATTATTATACTTTGTTTTACAGGGCCTCGCGGAGCTGGTACACACGCATCTCCGGAAGGGTGAGGTCTCATCCAGACAGTTTTTCCTCCGTTGTCCATCCTGTACCAATGACCGTTGTAGCAAGGCGCGTCTATTCTTAGCCGGAGAGGCAGACCGCGTGGCTGATTGGACAAATGCCCAATCCTTCCGTCTGCCTTCGGGCGTCAAAGCTACCTATAAGAAAGTCCCCGCGTCAATTTAAAATAGTCCTCTTCAATAGACCGAAAATATACATCAGGACGCACTTTCTTTGCTTTTGTCCCTAGGTATACGTTGAACATTTTCATCACTGTCAACCAACAAATCTCGTTTATTTTTTGTCATTTTGCTAGCTCTTTTGCAAT